TTAAAATGACCTCTCAGCTTCGTTTCTAACCCCCTGCACGTCACTTCCGGCACAATTCTGACCAATGCTGATCTTCTCCGGTTCCCTTTATTAACTTTTATTTATTTATTTATTTATTTATTTATTTATTTATTTATCTTAAACTAAAGTTTTGTAAAGCACATCAAACTTTGCATTTACAAATGGTGGAAAGCTCACTGATTTTATTATTAATTATTATAAATGTTATTTGTGAATATTTTGTTAATAATTTAAAAAGTAAAGTATTTGGTGATAATGCCCTTCAGTAATGGCTAAAATTTTTGCAGTAAAACTTTCACAGTGTTAGCTTTGAGCGTCAGTTTTCTTCTTTGAACTTAATTGCACATTGTTTTATAATTATTTTTTCTTTTGAGTAAATATTGCCATTATGTCCAGACTTCAGGGCCACCCTATACACTGACAGCTGTGGTGTGATATACATTGTCTTATGACCATGGATGCTGACTAATGACTTATGAAGTATATATTGACATATCTGCAGTTATATAACATATCTGTAATCTGTGGTTGACATCTTTGTGTCTGGGAGCTGACTCATAGTATGATATGGTATGGATTAAGGCGCATTCACTGTCCACTTCTGATGGCTTGATTTAGTGCAGTCTAAGAGTGATTTTGGTATGGATTAAGGCGCATTCACTCTCTACTTGTGATGGCTTGATTTAGTGCAGTTTATCTCTGCACGCTGATGATTACAATTCAAACTACGGGCCTTATTTATATTAGAATTTAAAGACAAAGAGTTGATCTTTACTTAAGACCAAAAACTATTTTTAAAAAGTAATTAAAAATTAGCAAAGAAATCTTTTTGGCAATTTGTTCCTTTTTTGCAGTAACTAAAATTTCAGCTATTTGGTTTTTAAAACAATAAATTTATATATATATTGTAATATAATTTCAAGGAGCCCTGGTATCAGTGGGTATATTTTCTAGGTTGAAATATACAGGCATTCTTGCCTTCAGGGTTGTACTTGACATTTTTGGCATGGCACTGGTAAGCAGTCTGATATCAAGAATTTGACATTGAGGGTAACTAAATTTATAGGTCAAGTGAAATAGAAATTGGGCTAGGATTATACTTGAGAACTTGACATGGTCCTGGTAGCCACACTTGTTATGGAGTAAACAGGGTCTCACTCATAACGTGCTTGGCCATGTGAGACATTACTTACAATGTACTTCCTCACTAGTAGGCCTTTGGCCCACAGATGGGTAGAGGCCCTCGACGGCTCTTCGCCAGTGCATTTTATCCTGGGCCATTTTGGCTATTCCCATCCTGTTGGTCCTCTGCTGTTTCAGTTCTGGATTGGTCTCGCCTTTAGCTGTTTTGAGATTGGCCTCAAGGTCAAGGAAAATCTTTGTTTTTCAAGTTGAGAGAAGACAAAATCATTTCTGATTGGATTTAGCTCCTCTCCTTACTGCACTTCCATATTTCTTGTATTTTGATTACTTGCATGATTACTATAGGTGTCTGTGTTAGCTGGATGAAGGGTAAGGTTGTATTCAAGACAGTTTTAACAAAAATGGTTTGGGATTTATTTTAGAAAGTAGGCTGACTGAAAACCGTGCTGTGCATTGGAAGCCCTTTATAATCTCCCCCCCTCCCTACCCGCCCTCCCCCCCCCTCCCTTGCATCCTCATCCATTGTTGGCCATTTTCCTTGTGGACCACAGAAGATTTATGTGTTACCATTTTCTTGCTGAAGTTGGAAATGTTAAAACAGCTGTGAATGGGCCCTTTTTTCTTGATGGTCATTTATTCCTATAAGGATTGGTCATCACGGTAACTTAATTAAGTTATTGCTAATTTCTTAATTAGTACACTCCTGGGTGTTAATGTGTAGAGCTTAATTTGGTCAAAGGTGAAGTAGAGGAGTATTATTCAGTTATCTCTCTCTCCCTCTCTCTCTCCCTTTCTCTCTCTCTCTCTCTCCATGATTTAATGAAAATGATTGTACAATTTCTGTATTTCTTTCTATTGCAGAAAGTAATCGCATCCACATTGGAAGTGGTCCAGGAATCCGTCACTGTTGACCAAGTAGACAACGGACGAGAGGTGGTCATCTATTGCTGACCTGTGTGGTCTCTGGTCATTCACAAGGCAGTTAAGAGGGGGAAAAAGAACCAGAGTTTTAACCATCTTCCACCACCAGCAGACTCTGTCATTTCAAATCCAGTTCCCAGTCAGAAAAATATTGCTCAGAAAGATTAACCTCAGTCTTAAGCTCACTCAGAGAGGATAGAAGTTTGTTTTGTGGCTGGGAAAGAGAGAAAGAAAAGAAGAAGAAATCAACTCAGCAAGCAGACAGATCTCTGAACCAGGAAGTCTAGCAGCCAGTGTCGAGTTTCTTCTGGGAGAATGCAGCAGTTTTAGAATCAAAAGAAAGCTTTCCTCAAAGTCTCTGGCAATCTTTTCTCCCTTTCTCTTGCTTTCTCCGAAGTGACCCAGTGAAATCATTTTGCTAGGACTGAAGGGAAACAAAGTAAAGATGCCACTGTTCGGGAAATCACAGAAAACGCCGCAGGAGATGGTGAAGAATTTAAAGGAGGCTATTTCACAGATTAGTAGGGAGGATAAGAAAGGAGAGAAGGTAAGCAGGTTTGCAAAAATTTATTTGAAAAACCTCTTACAGAGGAATGAGGAAGTTTTTACCAGTAATCATTTTTTTTGTTTGTTTTTTTCTGAAGTGAAGTTTTTCTCAGCTGGTCTCCGGTAAGATACGCCCTTCATCTTTAGTTTATTAAGGTTAAGATTGAATTTATTATTGCCTTAGGTTATGTAACTTTTGTTTTCAAATAAATGCCAACATTATTATTGCTGTAGTTGTTAATTATGATGATAATGATGATAATTATAATACCCCCTTACTCTCTAGGCTTCAGACGATGTATCAAAGAATCTAGTGTTAATGAAGACGCTGCTGTATGGAGCAGGTGACCAGGAGCCTCAGTCTGAGCAAGTGGCGCAACTGGCGCAGGAAATCTACAACAGCAAGCTGCTGCTACTTCTGATACAGAGTCTACATAGGATTGATTTTGAGGTGAGTGACACTCCTTTTACGTTTGGAAGTTATAATTCATTTCAATTCAGTTCAGTTCATTTCTGTACTGGTACATAAATTATCATGACCTTGTACAATATTAATATAATGACAACAATACAGTTGGTGCGTTACCATTTCTCTTATTGGTAATTGTGTTGCCAGTTTGTGAATGAACAAATATACATCTTTACATAATGAACAAATGTACTAGTTAAGTTACTAATAAGATATCCAAGCTAGGCGGTGAGATATATTGTGGTAAACTCTGCTCCCTGATTAAGCAAATTTTGTGAAACATGAAAATTGATGTGCAAGGCAAGTGTAAGGAAGTTATGATCATATGGTCTAAATGTAAAGATAAATTGCAAGCTACGATGTCAGGTTTTTCCGTTTTAATTTACAACTTTCACCCAAATCTTTATAACTTGTTTTTGTTGTTGTATATTTTTAGGGCAAGAAAGATGTGGCTCAGATCTTCAACAACGTTCTACGCCGCCAGATCGCCACTCGCTCGCCAACTGTGGAGCACATTTGTACCCAGCCAGAGATTCTCTTCACGCTCATGAAAGGGTGGGTAGTTTTGAACAAGATTGTGTTCTGCTCTGATGAAACATAAAATAAATCAGAAACCAGGTCTGCCTTTGACCTTCACTTAAATTTAAGAAAATTTAAATAAGAAAAAAAAGGACCTCACAAATCTTATACTGCCTTGAAGTATAGGAGTGTGAGCACTTCAAATTATTATGATCACAGAGTGGAAAGTGAATTCAGCCATTGGGAAGTGATAAGTAATGTGACAAGTGATACTGAATGTACAATAACATTGAATGAGCTGCTGCTTCCACCTAGAAAGTAAACATAATTTGTTGGCACGAAACTCTTTAAGGGGGTGTTCAGTTCACACCTTGAGAACTTTTTATTTCGCATAAGTGTTGATTTTACCAAATAAATGTGAAGATTGCTTTCAGCTGTAGTGTCATGTTTGTTGGGATGGGAGGGGTGCAGAGTATGGGCATGCATATTTATTTATAGGAGTAGGTGTACGTATGCACGTGCATGTTGTTAACCCAGCCTGTATTAGATTTTAACTTAAAATCGGCATAAATTAAATGTACAAGGTTGGTAGATAAAGACTGAACTTGCTGTCCAGCACACATTATACAGAGATAAGATTTTTCTGACTTACGTCAGATTTCCAACTTATTGGGAGCCAAAAATATCATTGACCTAGGCAGCCCCCCTGGACCCTACGCCATATTTTCTGACCTATTAACTTAATGGCCATCTCATCCCTGATTATATACTGACCATATTTTCTTGTTAACCTCAATTTTTTCCTGTTCACCTCATGCCTGGGGGATACATAATTAAGGTGCATAATCAAGATAAATCGTGTGAACGAGGTCTTCAGGTGTGATGTCTGCACTTGGCTGACCGTTGATTATCCATTGCCCAGGGCACCATAATCTGGGTGATGTTTACATGTTATAATATCCACTTAGGTACATGGACTGCTTAGAGTCATAGACCCCATTCCCATAAACACCATTGGTCTCCATGGATCAATCAAACTCTACAGAGACTCTTGCTGAGTGCAGTCAGCTTAACTGAATGGCACACCTCTTGTTTCCAACTTCTCATATATATTTATCAGCCTTTTCTGTATTTTACATAATGCCAGGAGTTGGTGTGTGAATCTGTTGAACTGATTGCATTCAGCGAGAATTCCCACAGAGTCGGGTCGGTCTGCACAGACAGATGCTGCTTGTGGGAATGTAGCCATAGCGTACCCTTACATACCCAGAGGTCATGTGGTATTCAAGATTCAATTTGTTTTATTACAGTCTTACCCATAAAAAATGGCACATAAAATAAGAAGTTGAAGGAATGCTTGGCAGCTAAATACAGTGACATAAGAGACTGGATATTACAATTAAAATAAGCAGACGTAAAATTAAAAATTCAAATCATTACCACCTTATGAGAATGAGATATGGCTCATTGCTGGTCAGTATAAACTGTAAGGCATATTATACCCGTTTGCACAACAGTCATTTATCCGAATAATTAGCGAATTAGGTCCCGATTCGAATTACTGTAGTAGTCTGAACGCATGAGGATTTTTATTATGCGGATTTTCAAAATCCTGCTAGCGAGGTGGATTTTCTTCAACCATTTGAATAACTTACCGGAACCGACACCTGTACAAATCTTACTGCGCATGAGTGCAGATAAGTGCGGGTATCTATGAATGCTTGTTTATTACTTTAGCGATTGCACTAAACGTATTTGGAGGTCACTTCTCACTACAACATGCAGAAACATAAACTTATTTTGCCATCTTATACTTCCCAAGAAAGCTGGAATGTCTTTTGAGTAGCATTTGTCATCACAAATTTTTGTTGGTATTTTAAGTTTTCATGTGCGGCGCAAGCGCTAGTGTTCAAAATAGGAATTTAAACCTGAAATTTTCAACGAAGGATTCGTATTCACTTCGCGTGTGTGAACGCAATACCGAATCGAATTCCTCGTGAAAAATTTTGTATTGTAGAAATGCGCATTTTTGCAACTGTAGTGTGAATGGGGTATGAGGAGTCCGAAGTAATTTAGAACATAGGCTAACTAGTTAAAGATTATTATAAGTAAAAAGAATGACATAGAAAAGTAATCTTGCTAAAAATGGAGGAGTTTCATTTATCTAAGAGTTGGTTCCAAGGACTCTGCAAGATATAACAGGCATGGGCTTTTTCCACGGAAATGTGGAATTCCGCGTTTTTTAATTCAATTCTGATAGTATATTGTAGGTTAAGTCTGTGTAGTTTCTGAAAAATGTTCAGAAGTTTTTTTTTTTTTTTTTTTTAGGCCCATGTCCGATATAAGGTCATCTAATCATATTCTCTGTTTAAGAAGCCTATCCATATTCTTTCCTCAGGTTACTCTCATCTCCTCTAATGTCATAATTGCCATTATTGATTTTTTTCCCTGTCCTCATGTGTGTTGTGATCCATAGTAAGTCTTCATTTTTTAAAGGCTAAATGTGATTTGGTGAACTTGGTCATTTGTCAGGGCTGATTATGTTTTAATGTAGATAGGGTCAAAGCCATTGTGATCTCTTAGTAACAGAGGATGCAGTTAGAATGGAACCTCCATTGTGTCCCCTTTTGTAATTACTAAATAAATTTGATGAGAATTATCCATGTTTCTCAGAAATGGGTTTTGTTTGTCGTGATTTTTAGTTTTTGAAATGGCATTTTGAGCATTTTAGAATAGCAAATTGGGTTTGTCTTCAACTGGTTTTAGTACTTCTTATCTTTCATGTCCTTCCAAATTGCTAAATATGAAGTTCAAATAATAGTTTCAGGATATTACACTTTACTGCTGCATGAATTTCAGATATGAGGAACAAGAGATGTCCCTTGGCTGCAGTTTAACAAACTAAAGACAGGGTTAAATGAAATTTAGGACCCCTTCTCTTCATTAATGCCCTCAGTTTATTTCTAGTATTCAAATATTAGTATCTGGAGATCGTAATTAGCTGGAGTGTGATGTTGATGGAGTTTTATTATGGTGAAGCCTCACAAAGAGCAAGACTGGATTAAATGCTATTTAGTACTGCTTCTCATCATCAGTGCCTTCAAATAAAAAAATAAACCAGGGTTAAATGATATTTAGTACTGCTTCTTCTCATTTATGCCCTCCATGTATGTTTCAGCTATGAGCAGCAGGAGATAGCGCTGAACTGCGGCATGATGCTGAGAGAATGTTGTCGTTATGAGGCCCTCGCCAAGATCATGCTGTACTCTGAGGAGTTCTACAACTTTTTCCGCTACGTTGAAGTCTCTACGTTTGACATCGCTTCAGATGCCTTTTCTACATTTAAGGTGGGCCATGAATGTTGATTTTGTAAATTAAAAATAAATAAAATAAATGACGAGCGGTTTGGATTTAAGTCACCAAGAAAGGAAGTTAAAAAAAACAACTTTATTAATTAATTTTTTGAGGCAACAAGACAAACAAAAATGTGGTAGGAGTGTTATAACTTTCTGTTTTATCTAGATTCAGATTTATCTACATTAAGCTGCTAAATTTTAATTCTAACTTACTCATACTTAGCTGTTTTATAAAAAGTAGGAATATTGACAAATTTTTTGATAATAAATGTTTACAATTTTTCATTCTCTTGATATAATTATGATTCACTTATTTATATTAAGACTTTATAATTCGATATGAATATTGTAGGAGCTGTTGACCAGGCACAAGATCCTGTGTGCGGAGTTCCTGGAGGCCAACTATGGCCGTGTTTTTGACCAGTACCAGGCCTTACTGAACTCTGAGAATTATGTCACCCGGAGGCAGGCGCTCAAGGTGAATACAACCACCACGTCCCTCCCCTCTCTCTCTCTCTCTCTCTCTCTTTCATTCACATTTTTGCTTCAGCTGCTTGGTAAGTTTCTTTTGGACGGATATTATTTCACACACGCACTTTATATATATTTATAAGATATATATGTTACAGTATTTACATACAATATTTATTTTATTTTGTTTATATTTATTTTTACTAATTGTTATTTGTTACATTTTCCCACCTTCAGCTGCTTGGTGAGCTCCTATTGGACCGACATAATTTCACCACCATGACACGCTACATCAGCAACCCAGACAACCTCAAGCTCATGATGAACATGCTGCGGGAAAAGAGCAGGAACATCCAGTTTGAGGCTTTTCATGTTTTCAAGGTCAGATCAGGGTCTCTTTAGTCTAAGATTGAGATTTTAGAAAATTAGGTTTTGTAAAAAGTGTAGAAAAAAGACAAATGAATGTTTGGTAATGTAGCCTCTTTTTTATGAGTTTTTTTTTTTTTTTTTTTTTTTTTTTTTTTGTCACCTATTTCAGAATCTTTTTTTCCTCCATCTTAATTTCATTGTAAGAGTCATTATTTTTAGCTTAACAAAGTTCATATCTTTTAAAGATGGTATATTAAAAATATGAGTGTAACATAAAATGTTAAGGATATATATATCTGATCATATTTCCAATATTTTTCCAGGTTTTTGTGGCCAATCCAAACAAGCCGAAGCCAATTCTGGATATCCTGCTCAGAAATAAGGAAAAATTAGTGGACTTTCTAACTAAGTTTCATACCGATCGCTCGGAAGATGAACAATTCAACGATGAAAAGGCTTATCTTATAAAACAAATCAAAGAACTCAAAGCTCCTGACGAGCACTAATATTTAGCAAGGAATAGCTGTTAAACTATGTTACTACATTTTTTATTTTAATCGTACTAATTATACAATTATCTTAGACTATTCTAATAGACATGAAACTAGTAGAACAGTCAGTAGGATGTTGATCTGTTTTTGTCAGATTTTTTTTTCGACGGCTTGTGTCTAACAGAAAAGTAAGGGGGGAGACAGCGAGTTTGCTATGCAGAACGTTTTTGTCAGTTAACTCTGCAGCTTTCATTCTCAAATGGACAAGATTATTAAAAATGAAGCGTTCATGAACCATTTTGTTGTATTCGAGAGTTGCATTGCTTTTTGAACATTCATGGACACCAGAGTTACAGCAAAGAATTTTCTAGTGAAGAAGAGGATTGAAACAGAGAAAAGAATATACTGGATAGGCTGTGCAGTTGTATGATGGAACGTACATTACATTTCTCCTGTTATCTGTTTGCAAAGAATTTGCTAGTTTTTTTTTGAGGATGATTTGCTTTACTTATAATACATCTACTTCTGTGAGCCTTTACTCAAAACAGGAACTCAAACCAGTTTTATAAATGGACTTGAGCTGAGGGTATCTCTTAACTCTATGACTGAAAATTTAAGTATTTTAAATAAGATATATGAGCTGTAGTCCACTTGGGTTTGACTTTTGGGCCTATTTTACAGAAAAAAAGAAACGCATAATGGTTCATACTGATTTTCGCTCTTCTTCAATGGACTTTTGTAAATGGAACTTGGATTGAGGGGAAGGCAGAACAAATGTTTTGGACTTTCACTTCAGACCAACTTGGAATGGTTCTTTTACAAAGCAGGGGTCACTGCAGTGGACTTAATGGCAGGATTCTGCAAAAAGGTTTCTCAGTTAACAGATCTAACAGAGAGAATAAAAATTTGACTTTGGCAAGGAGGGAAAATATTTCTGATTATTATTCAGCTTAATTCAACTCAATTTGAGAAAAAAATTATAATGCCTCAAAAATGTTTTGATATCTATATGTGAAAAAAATGCTGCAACATATTAAAATATTTTGAGTAACATATTGGTACATGTATTTCGCAAGTTCTTTGTGAGTATTAAATGGATTACCATTTGCATAATGAAAAGAAATGATTAGAGAGGGAATTGACATAAATGAGTAGTTACTTTATATGTATACCATTAGGGTTTATCTAAAACATACTACCAGTGGTGCAAATGGTTGTAAATTTAATTTCCTCATATTTTTCAAGCCGATGCCTTTTTCTGACAGGTTCTAAGTATTAGGTCCGGGCCCAAATAAGCTTGTATGTAAAAAAATAGTGCAGCATTCCGTCAAGTCTGTGTGATAAGGCTGGCAGTGGAGTGGTATTAAATTTCAGAAAAGTAGTGCAAAATGAAGCAATTTAAAACTGCCTATGACAAACGTTACCTATAACAATTGGAAAGCTTATTAAAATATCTCTTTGTCCATGATACACTGCTTGATTTCGTTGAAGAAGGCGTGATTCTAAACAGATAAAAATTTTATTTGCATCAACAAAACTTCTGCTTAACATTTAAGAAGTCAAAGCAATAATATGTTATTTTAATTTCTGAAATACTTTTAATTGATTTTGAGAGAATCGTCAAAAAAGAATCTTCCCTGTAATGGTGTGAAGAAATCTGAGTTTCTTAGTCAGGATGATTTTCATAAACCTGTTGATAATAGAAGTCAATTTGTGATAAATACCAACACTCAGGGTTGAAACTTTCACAAATTTCACGCAAAGGAAAATGGCAAATCTGAATAAAATATTGAGTTGGGTATTGCTTATTTTTAAAGGTTATAATGTTGTACAAAGGAAAGATCTGACTTAAAAACAATTGACTTTTATATATTGAATGTATCATGGTGGGGTGGGAAAAATGCGGTAGGTTTAGTTATTCCACGAAACTGTTGTGGTGGATAAATGCACCCATCAAAAGTAAAAAAAAAAAAGAATGTCAAAAAAAGAATGTGTTAGAGAAGCCTGAGCCTGACACAATCAGAAATCAGAAATATGGCTGTATTCCCAGAGCTTTTAGATCGATCTATCCCCGCGGGGAGTCTCACTAGATTACTGTCAGATAATCCGGCTTAAATGTCCGTCCCGCCTACTACAAGCTGTCAGGGGGTAATTAACTTTCGTGTCCGCTCGGCTGACGGCTATTTAGCGTGAACCCCCAGGGAGTTAGGTCGATGTAAAGTAGATCGATCTAATCTCTGGAAATGGGGTCTATATCAGGGATCACAAGGTGTCAGAACGGGCATTGGACGGAATTGTACTTTCTGACCACAGGGTGCGCTAGTTGTCTGTTACAAAATATCTTCACTGTCACATTGTAATTTTATATACCATTTTAGCCTTTCCCCCCTCCCCATCCGTATTAGGAGAGTAGTCAAATTGCTAATTTCATAACTTTTACGCTTTCAGTTTCAAGACAGTTGATTTGTTTCACGATATGAAAGACCATATAAGTAAAAATAGACCATATGAACCGGAAGCGTGACCTAACCAAAATAAGAGGATTTTTTTAAATGGAAAAATGGGTTGGGTACTGGCATGGTGTGTTATGTGGAAAAAATTACCGTTGACCGCAGGGAAACAACTGATGATGTTGCTTTTATCTTTTACATCGCCTGCAATTTGGATATGACATACCCCTATGCATAAACAGTTCTTTTTTTAAATTTAGAATTTAGTTGCTATGCTCATAAACCATAGTTGAATTTTCAAAAATATGAAATTCATCCACCGACCCTGTTTATATACAGTACGTCGCCGCTCATTAACCAACTTATCAATTTCAGGCCTTCCCAACTACCAGACTCGGCACCTAAGGATCCTGAATTAACCGGTATATCGGACCACACTACCCGTTTTCAAGGTATGTGTCAGATCGCATTTCGGAGTATCAGCCAGAACACCGACAGGATGAGCCCTGGCATGCTCGGCTGTCACTTTGATTGGATAGTAAACGATTGTCGTAAAGTCGCTATATGATTTTAAAACCGGGCGCATAAATTTGAAAGCCACCTAGATGAACCTAAGACTGCCACATTAATCTAATACAATGCAAAAAAAAAGCCCTATCAAAGTGGTTAAAACATTCAAACCGAATGTCGTAAAGTCCCCATATACCCCCATAGAGACAAAAAAATAGAGTACTCTAAAGTAAGAGTACAGTTTCAGGTTGTTCAGCCAAGCGTGGATGAGCCCGCAGTCGTGCTACAAAATTTATTCTGGGGTATGATACTCCGAAATGCGATCTGACACACACCTTGAAAACGGGTAGCGTGGTCCGAGATACCGGTTAATTCAGGATCCTTAGGTGCCGAGTCTGGTAGTTGGGTAGGCCTGAATTTTGTTTGGCATAAGGCTACGTAGATCTAGGTAACCTGAATTTTCAAGAGGCTCAAAAAGAGTCTTATCTTCATTAATATAGAGACACTCTGTTCTACTCGTAGCATATGTGAAAGTAGACGTTTGTTCTAATACCGTTATCAAGCACCTCCCATCTTTGTCAACGCTGGCTTTATATCGTTCCCTTTACCTTGCTTAAACTGGGCTGGATGTGGCACAGGTACTGGTACACCAAGGTGGTAAAAGAGGAAAGGTTAGTGCTGTTCTTTATTGTTATTCTTTTATAATGATCTCTACATAATATGTTTAGTTTTGTAAGCTCATTTTACTTCCTTTTATACTATCTGGATCAAACACGAAAGAAAACCATGGGGTATATATGCGGCTGCGCAGAAAAGTTCTGTCGATTTTTAACATGGAGCTCGGGGTCATTATATTCTTTACTCTCAGGTCACCGTCAGGTAGCAGAGCCTGACAATAGACCTAAAACATGACCTCCATTGGGAAGGAGAAAATGCAAACAGGCATCTTCACGCAGAGAGCTAGTCTTCACAGGATTCGAATAGTAGGTATTAATGAACCTGTCAATAAGTTGTGAACAGAAAGTTAGTTTTTGCCGGTAATGATTTATACGAAGTTACTCTTAAGCTGAAGGCGGTAAGCGGCTAGGTACATGTAGGCACACCCTTAACAGAAATCCATATGACAAGCTTTCGATGAAAATGGCTAGGTCACACAGTCTGCACCTATGATAGGCCTAGTGGAGAGTAAAATATTAAAGGACAACGTCTCTTTCTTGGGCCTTAGAATAAGTAAATGATGATTTCTAGACACCGTTAGAGGCCAAAAAAAAAAAAAAAAAAAAAAAAAAACAGCTGCACAGGAAAATGATGTTGACGCATGTGCAGAAAGTGCACTTTTTGAAATGAACAAGTGTTTACAGTCTGTTTATTCAAGAAGTTGTAAAGTCTCTTTACAACAGTCTGGTTTATTAAAACTACTAGCGTGAATGCTGGCTGGAGCTCGTGGTTTTCGCCCGCCCAGTCTCGTCCACCCGCGTCCCCATCACTTAGAAAAAGGTAACATTAAATAGGCCTATCGATCCAGCCTATTTTGGGTCTGTCAGTGTAGTCTAGTGCATTGGCCTAGGTGTGGGGTTTGTCGTATTGCACCGTTGGAAAATAAAATGTTAAATATACAGTGTATGGCTGCATTCACATCAAGTTGAACCATGGCTCTACAAAACCACGACCTAAATATGGCGGACGTACATGAAAGGAAAACCGCCTAATCTTTTAATAGTCTTTCCGCCTCTCACACGCCTCCCCATGTGTTCTCAATGGAGCCGAGATTTAATGACTCTACCCCCGCAGGGCGACGCATGGGAAGGCGTGTGAGAGGCGGAGAGACTATTAAAAGATTAGGCGGCTCTAGATGGCTTTGTAGAGCCACCATGGCCCATTGCTCGACTCGATGTGAATGCGGCCTATGTATCAAACCGAATAGGAATTATAGGAAAAGTTACGATAGAAGTGTGATATATATATATGCCTTTGGATTAATCTTTGACCTTTTTTCAAGGCCAAATGGGCCAAATTTTGTAAAAGAAACACTTTTTTCGCGAAAAAATATTTGATCGTGCCGATTTTCAGAAACCTCATTGACTTTTATAATATGGTGAGGTCTCCTTTCATCTTCGTTAGTTAAAGGTCAATTGCACATTTGCGCTATTTCAAAAAAGTACAACTGAAACTTCTTTACCCTTATGCATGTGTATCTGTAAAATTGGCAGCGATACATCCATAGTTACTATTGAACTTGAATAGGAAGTGATATACTGGCAATCTAAATTACCTATACCTTGAATATGACTGTTGACCTACATTGATGTACTTTTAACCCTAAACTGAACTTTACAAATTATCCGAAACTTATGTGAAATGTATAAAGTCTACAAAAATAACGCTTTTGACCTATAGCTATTTACCTCTTTCCACAGGTGTTGGTGTCCTAGTACAACATCATAAGATGTACTATTACTAGTAAGCATATATGTTGGAGATATGGCTGGACCATCAACTTCTAACATTCCCCTTGCCTTAGACTTGAAAATAACCACCTTGCCATGTACGTTTCAACTTCGCATAGCAGACAAAGAAGTGGTCTATGCAGTGCTGGGAGCGGCTGCTGCTACTGGAATTGCTGCATTTTTTCTTCGACATAATCAGGACGTTCGGCGCATTATCAGGAATGTGATAGTGGGCAATGACCACGATCAAGACCCAGCAGTTAATGATATTAACCCAGGTTCTTTGCTTGTGGATATTACATGTTATACCAAAGAGAGTCTCCTCACGCTCGGGCGCCGATATCGGGATGGTTCTCTGGCTACGGACATAGAAGACGGCCTTAAATCAATCGGATACGACAAACCAATCACTGTCACAGCCGAAAGAGATGGCGAACCATTTGCATTAGACAAGGTGCACCAAGCACTAGAAGGCCTACATGTAGGCCTAGCCCTACAGGTAATTTTCAGTTAACATATAAAGTTTCTGCAAACTTGTTTTTACTGTTTATTTATGCCAGGGAATAGTCCAGAAACATTATTTAAGCTTTTCTGGAAAACATCTTCCATTTATTTTGTTAGCTGGGTCGCAGAGGCTTCTTTCTAACGTTATTTTAATGTAGGCCTACTTTTTGTATAGGACTGAAAAGAACTGAGGCCATACCCAGCAAACACGTCACGTTTGGATCACGAGGCTAGCATGTTGCTATGACGTTGTATGTGGTAGCCACGTGCTAGCCACGTGATCAGAACGTGACGTGTTTGCTGGGAATATTTTATCAAATGGCCTCAGGTAGAGAAATTAATTAAGCCTTCGGTCTTAGTGTTAAGCATCGTAACCATAAATTTCTAGGATATCAGAAGCCGGCTTCTACATTTCCCTGCTCTATTTTTGGTAAAACATACTTTGTGTTAAATAAACAAATAAATAAAAAAGAATTTAATCTGCATAACGGAACCACTGTTGAAGAACAAAAAAAATATACAGTTGGCCTTCATTGAGAATCAAATATATATATATATATATATATATATATATATATATATATATATATATATATATATATATATATATATATATATATATGCAGACATTTCTTTGAAATAAAAAAACGATTGTAGAATAGGGGTCTAGAGCTTCATACCAATTTTTGCCATGAAAAATCTAGACTCCATGAAGGGAAATCATTTTCCGACTTTTTTTTCTTGGCGATTTCTTTCAAGCCTATTTTTGAAAGACACCCAGTAGTCATAATTTCTGTCAAAAGACAATTTGTTGGGCAAATCGCTGGGTTCACTTCTGTCCTTTTTATTTTTAGGACGTACTTTTTTCTGGTTTTGGTGGCCTTAACTATTTATTTTCATTGCCATCGCTTTCATAAGTGGTTATTCGCGGAAAACGATGTTTTTCTATTGAACTCGGCCGGTACTCAAATTTATGTTCGACTATATCGGCATCACTATGCTCAATTGAAGTTGCCGCCGTCCGGGTGTAGGAACATTAAACCTAGGCAGATCATAATTCGAAACACCCTTATGGACAAACGGAGCAGGGCCCCGACTACTTTCCCTACCAGTCGTTGGGAAGTAACAGTCTCGGATTTCACGACGCGGCCTGGAAGCTTTACACAAACAAAAATGTTATAATGATCTTTGTTATCGACATACAGACTCTCAACAGGCAAAGCAAAAAAGTCGTACTTGTATTCTAAATTGGCTGGCTGCGAAGTGAATGCTGACTGAGAACGTTGTTTGGGTTTTGATTTGATTGATTGCGGTTCATTTGTTGATTTCGAACAAGCTTTTAATTTTTTATTATTTAGGTATTTATCTTTTAAAATGAATCGGATATTGATTAATGATTCGCCTATCTAAATTAAAATTTACTGCCAATTACCATGTTTCAAGCATTTACATTTGAACACTTAATATATAGTATTGAAAATAGCCCTTTGAGTTTCCTTCTTACCGAAAATTTTTTTAATTGATTGGATATTGATTTATATATTTTTAGGTGTATGTAAGCCTGCTTACATTTGATTTTATTTGATAAACACCATTTTTCGAGCCTTTACAATTATACACTAAATGAATACTGAAACTTGAAAGAAAATGCCATCCGAATTTGAAAATCACATAAGGTACTTTAGGTTGAATTTTAAGAAAAAAAATATTTCCACCAAAGATAAAAGCAAATCTATTGATTGAAGAGACAGGGTGACAGAAAACATTGGAATTTAGAAGAGTGTCTGAAAAAACTTTTCATCAGGACACTATGCTGAAGATCTAAATAAAAATATTAGTCCAAAAGAAAAACAATTAACAAACATTAAAAATGCCATCAGAATCCGAAGTTATTTGCAAAGATTTGCAAAAAAATATTGCAAATTATTTGCAGTACTGGAGTTTTATGGTTCGATGAAATCGCAATTGAATTTTTTTTCTAACAACTTGAATGATTTTCTTTTTTGTTAGGCGGAGAGAGGAAGAGGCAATGGTGGTGGGCGTGGGAGAGGAAGAGGAAGGGGAAGATCACGCGGCAGAGGTGGAGGTTTTCAACAACCTCGTGATCCAGAGTGAGTATACAACATAAACTGAGGCCATTTATTATGTCCCTCCCCCCCCCCTCCACAAAAAATGAGGGTATATACTAGTAGCTTTAAACATACATCTGTTTGTCTGTTGGATTACCAGTGACTAGCCTATATTGTAAATAGGGAATGTGGCCATTATTAAAAAGCACCTAATTTTTATACAAAGCAACCAAGACAAATGAATATTTGGGGTGATAATGCACGTATTAGTAAGTTATTAAAAAAAACTCTGTCTAAGTTATTTTGTAACTTATAATTGAGTTTGCACGTGAGTTTTCTCATTAGTGCGCCTGTTAAGTTAAATGTTATGTTCAGTTGATAACAACAAAGAACTAATGAAAATGTGTCAAACCATTAGTGTTTATTTGTGGTTGGTCAGAACAGAGTGAAGGAACGGTGAAAAGCACATACTTTTCTTTGATAGACTGTAGATCTACCAGTTGTTAAGGGGAACATTTCTGAATTTAAAAAATCACCTTTCGAGACACTGAATCTGTTTCTTTGAATATATTTGTTTAATGTATGCATAATTACTAACTTTATTGCATTGTTTGCTGCTAATTGATATGTAATATCATTTAATTAGTGACTTACATTTGTCCCCAACAATCTCTGCTTTAAGGCAACAAGGAAAATATGCCGCTGGTAGACCAAGAAATACCAATAGAGGTGGCAGTCATGCAAGACTGGGTGAAGAGAGGAGGATGCCACTTCTTGGGTACCGTAAACTTGTTGAATTTCAGTCCAAAGAACCTCCTGAACTATTATCCACACTAAATCACTCAAAAAGTGGATTTCGGGAACTCTTGTCATCAGACTCGTTGAAACCTGATTGGATCCAGCTTGTCCTTGCCTTGTTAACTAAAGCTTGCACATGCAGCTCATCGCCCCAGCTTTTGATACAGCTGCTGAACATCGTCAAAGACTCCAAATTTCTGAGTGTGCACCTTGTAATGTATATTGGCCAGATGGGTTTAGAAAGTTCAGTCTACAGGCAAGAAGAATTTAAAGAGCCCATAAAAGAAATGTTAAAGATATTTAGAGAGCTACTTATAAGGTTACCACAGGCTGCAGTAGCCACTGTTCTGGGTCCCTTGTCAATGTTACGTAGCACCATTATAAGACTTCAGGTGAATAGTGACATTATTGATGAAGATATTGAGCTTCAGCTGGCAGAGGTAAACAGCTTGAGTGAAGCCATTTTGAAGACAGAGCAAGAAGGCGGCGCAGGATGTGACATGGCCGTAGCTTCTGATGATCAGCCCCCATCCGATGATTTCAGAAATGTTCCCATTTTCCCAACTCATGATGACATCAACTTGAAAGAAGAGCCATTTCTAAGAGCAAATAAAACACATGGTAGATACCAAGATGTCAATCATTATCTTGATGTCCAGTTCCGTCTCCTGCGCGAAGATTTTGTTCGGCCTTTAAGGGAGGGAATTACAAAGTTTTCAAATCTTGGATCTATCAACCGAAGAGATGAACGTCTTCAAGACATCCGTATCTACCATGATGTCTATGTGGTTAATCCAGTGTGTACAATCAATGGATTGGTGTACAGAATACGTTTTGCTGTGTCCAAGCTTAAGGGGGTGAGGTGGGAGTCAACTAAAAGACTGATCTTTGGTTCTCTTGTATGCCTGTCCCAGGATCGTTTCAAAACACTTCTGTTTGCCACAGTTGCCAACCGCAATCCAAAAGACTTGGCAAAAGGGTTCTTAGAATTACGCTTTGAGCAGAGAAGGGGAGAGGTTCACAGAATTTCACCCGCCACCTCCTTCATTATGGCTGAGACAACTGCTTACTTTGAGGCGTGTCGCCATGTTCTCTTTGGATTACAGACCATTGAGGAGGATGAATTTCCATTGAAAAGATATATAGTTCACTGTGAAAATGAGGTGGCTCCACCAAAATACCTGCTAGAAAGAGCCCGGAATAAAGCTGCATTTGATTTAAGTCCACTAACAGAAGACACACTAGTCAAAAGACAGGAACCCCTCCTTCAACTTCAAGATGACACAGGTAATGATGATTACCTCCCAGTGGAGAGTGTGGCAGGTAAGAGTGCTCGGCAGGTGCTAGTACTTATTACCTCGAGCTGGCCTAGTGCTGAGGTGTTCCACCTGGATGAATCCCAAATGCAAGCCCTGAAGACAGTCCTAACCAAAGAGATAGCTGTTATACAGGGACCACCTGGTACAGGCAAGACGTACCTAGGTCTGAAGATTGCTCAGGCGCTCCTTCACAATAAAGCTGTGTGGGGTGGAGACACTCCTGTTCTAGTTGTATGCTACACCAACCATGCATTGGATCAGTTTCTGGAGGGCATACACACTTTTATACAAAATGGTATAGTCAGGGTTGGGGGGAGGTCAAAGAGCAAGGCTCTGGAGAAGTTTTTCATCAGAAACCTTAAAGATGAAATGCGTCAAAACAAGAAGGTGCCCAGAGGAGTTCTCGAAGGTTTGAATGATGCAAGATCAGAAATGAAGGAAATAGAGTTACAAATAGAAAATATTGTAGCCCGTATAGAGCAGACAGACCAAGGAATCTTGCATGAGGACACACTACGCCCTTTTATTGACCATGTCCACTACAGAAGCCTTACAGAGTTCAGACAACCTCAAGGATTGGGTTGGCCATTTGAACAAACTTCTCAAAGGAATTCCAACATGCTCGACTGGTTAGGGTTTGGAAATAACCTGTATTCCCCAGGGGATTATAGAGGGTTTGAAGAAGGAGAAGTCCCAGAAAAAAAGAAGAAAGGAAATGAGTATGAAGTAGAACAACTCGAAGAAGAGGAAGAAGAAGAGGAAGAAGAAGAAGATGAAAAAGAGGAGGAAGTTATTGAAGTGGAGGAAGAAGCAGACCTGTTGCAGGAGCAAAGGATAATTGATGATGCAGAAGAGGACGTTGATTTTTCTAGATTGAGGAGAAGGGTGGCCATTTCTGATTTTCCTCTTGCCCTTGATTTTGATACTTTAAGTATCTCTGAATTTGGTAGTACCAAAGACGGAGAAGATATGGGTTGGCAAGTGCAAAATCGAACATCCAAAAAACGCAAGAAAATTCCAATAGATGGATTTCGCAACAAGAATGCAATGTCTGAAGATGAAGCTGGGCAAGTGGGCAATGTCTGGACCCTTTCTGACAAAGATAGATGGCGGTTATATCACTTGTGGATTACTAAATACTGTACACATCTTAAGGAAGGGATAGAGGGATATGAGGAACAGTATGAAGAAGTCTCAGCACGCATGAGGGAAATCAAGAACCAGCAGGATTTGATTATTCTTAAAGAGGCTGCTGTGATTGGCATGACCACAATTGGCGCTGCCAAGTACCGCAGCATCCTCCAAGAAGTCCAGCCCAAGATTGTGATTGTTGAAGAAGCAGCTGAAGTGCTGGAAGCCCACATTGTGACCTCACTTACAAAGTCGTGTCAGCATCTCATCCTTATTGGGGACCACAAGCAGCTAAGACCAACACCAACAGTGTGTGAGCTGGCAAAGAAGTACAACCTTGATGTGTCTCTCTTTGAGAGGATGGTCAAGAATGGCATGCAAGTTGACTGCCTAAAGCTGCAGCACCGCATGCGTCCTGAGATTGCTACATTACTCAGGCACATCTACCCAGAGCTGGAAAACCACCCAAGTGTTGAGGATGCTGAAGACATCAGAGGCGTTTCAAAAAATATGTTTTTCATTAACCATAGCTATCCAGAAGTTAAGGATGGAGAGAACAGAAGTCGATCCAATAAACATGAGGCAAAGTTTATGGTTGCGCTGTGTAAATATCTCCTCCTTCAGGGATATGGGGCATCGCAGATCACCATTCTAACCACTTACACAGGCCAGCTGTTGCAGTTCAAGAAAATCATGCCCAAGACAACATTCCAGGGAGTGCGCGTGTCTTCCGTAGACAATTTTCAAGGAGAAGAGAATGATATCATCTTACTATCGCTTGTCCGCAGCAACACAGAAGGGAACATGGGATTCTTGGCAATTCAAAACCGCATTTGTGTGGTGCTATCACGTGCCAAAAAGGGTTTTTATGTAATAGGAAACTTCAGGCTGTTAGCTGAAAATAACATGTGGAGCAAGATAATTTATGACCTTCGAAAATGTGGGTCTATTGGAGAAGGGCTGCGGTTGTACTGTCAGAACCATCCAGAAAATGGGGGCATTCTTGCCAAGACAGATCTTGATTTTAAAGAGGCACCAGAGGGTGGGTGTTTGCTACCTTGTGAATATCGTCTTCCTTGCAGACATGTATGCAAAAAGGTCTGCCATAGCTATGATAAAGAGCATGCAAATTATAGATGCATGGAGCCATGCATGAAGACAATTTGCAAAAGGATGCATCAGTGCACCAAACTCTGCTTTGAAGAATGTGGCAAATGCATGAAGATGGTGGATAAAGTCATGCCTGCCTGTGGCCATAAGCAATCCGTTGCTTGCTCAGTGGACCCGTATCTAGTGTCCTGTAATCAGCCATGTGATGTAAAACTGCCTTGTGGGCACGAGTGCAGGAACAAGTGTGGTGAGGAACACACAAAGAAATGTAACAAGGTATGCAGACGTCTCTGGCCTTGTGGTCACGTTTTGATGACATATTGCCATCGTACTCCTGAGACTTTCCCATGTCCTACACCATGTGGGGCAATGCTGGAGTGTGGGCACAAATGTGCTGGAGCATGTGGCAAATGCAGACAAGGGCGACTACACATGCCATGCCAACAGAAATGTAATCGCAATTTAGTATGTGGACATCCATGCAAGGACACGTGCACCAAGAACTGCCCCCCTTGTCAGAGGCCTTGTGAGAACCGCTGTGTGCACAGCAAATGCCAAAAGACCTGTGGAGAACCCTGTGTGCCTTGTATGGAAGCCTGTTCATGGGAGTGCAAACACCACATATGCAGGAAGCTGTGCAGTGAGCCGTGTGACCGTCCACCTTGTAATGAACCTTGCAGCAGGATGCTGAGATGCAGACATCCATGTATTGGCCTTTGTGGTGAGCCATGTCCCAAATTGTGCCGAGTTTGCAATGGCGAGGAAGTGACAAAAATATTCTTTGGGACTGAGGATGAAGAAGACGCTCGATTTGTGCAACTCACAGATTGCAAGCACTACTTTGAAGTCAGCGGACTCGATCAGTATTTTGCCATGGAAAGCAGTAATTCAACAAACATGAGCATTCAGTTAAAATGCTGCCCTCTGTGTAAGACACCAATTAGGAGAAACCTGCGTTATGGCAAGCAGATTAACACTCAGTTAGCAAATATAGAATTAGTGAAGAGGAAGTTGGCTGTTGACATGCACATACTCCTTACAACTCACAGCCGTCTTCAAAGGGAAATTTCTGACATCAGACAGACAGATCTGATTGGCTTGTCTCATGCGCAGAACATCTTAGCTTATTTTGAAACCAAGATTACAGGTGGAACAGTTTCAGGCAATCATTTGGCCTTTATTGAGAATCAAATCAACTTCATTAAAAGGGTCTCTGGCATGAAGGCGAAGCTTGTAGATCAGCAGAAGGAAACCGAGAAATATGCCAGTGAACTCAAGGACATTATGAAGGAGCTCACATCCCTTTATTCCTGGATCGTTCAGCCTCGCTCTCACATGAGCCAGCAGGAGACAACCCAGTTCAGTGCAGAGACAACTCGCCTGGCCCTGCTGGGCAACTGGTTCATCATGAAAACCCAAATAGAGAACAGCGGGAGGACCTTGCCCCCCGAACTATCTGATCAGTTTGATCAAACGAAAACCCTACTGTGTGACAAGAAACCACTTTCTCCAGAAAGAGAGGCAAAAGTGAAGAGAATATACTCTGATGTGAAGCAGGCCTGTCCAGCCTCGGGACTACGAATCACAGACACAGAACGCCAGGAAATAGTTCAAGCCATGGGTCTGACCCAAGGGCATTGGTTTAAGTGTCCAAATGGTAAGTTTGATTTGAATATAAAGCCAGCTTATAGACAGTAATATTCAAATGTGAAACTGTTCATGTCTCTTGGTCTGCTTGGTTCTCACCTTGGCATAAAAGTTTTTTCCATCTTTGGGTTTTCTGTACAAGTTAATCACAATGAACATACATATATATCCTATATATCAACATTAATCTTCACTATATAAAGTATTTAAGTGTTTGATGGTCTCGTGTAAATTTCTAGAATGTTGATAAGTGTTTTCAGGAAAAACGCTGAACACAAATGTATCTTGTTTGTTGACAGGTCATATCTATGCAATCGGAGACTGTGGTGGTGCCATGGAAGAAGCAACATGTCCTGAATGTAAGGCTTGTATTGGTGGACAGAGTCATCGACTTCGGGATGATAATCAGTTGGCTGGAGAAATGGATGGGGCTCGTCACGCTGCATGGTCAGAGGCAGCCAACATGGCAAATTATGAGGGTTTCTGATTAAACATCCATGTGATTAATTTTTGTCGAATTGAGATGGATTGTGGTACAATGCAGGCAGAGTTACAAGTGAATTGCTGAGACGTGGATGATTCTAAATCTTCACCGATTTGATGCATTTTATTGGAACTGGTGAATTCAAGTGAAATGATTCAGAAGAAATTGGACACTTCTCTGGCATCTGTATTTATAGTCGTGGTTGTGTAATTGTTATGAGATTATGTCACATAGACTTTGTGTGCCATGTAATTATTGTGTGTTGTGATCACCAAAACTAACTGTAATATTTTGAAGGCCCCATCGAAGTATCTAGACTGTGACAATGTGACAATTGGATAAACTGCTGCTGAATTAAGAAGTGAACATCGGCACACGACTAAAAGGGCAATTTGAGAACTGACTGGTTCTTACGACATTTTGACCTCAATGACAATTTTAGAATTTGATTTGTAAAAGACCAGCTGTAAAATGTTGTGTTTCAATACTTTTAAGTATTATAATATATGTGTTTGTAGTAGATGTACCCGATAGGCAATGGTTAATTATGATATGCGATAAGCAGAAACTATAACATATAAGCATATCATAGTACGTACAAGTACGTGTGTTGTTTTTCAAAATTGTTGTATGTGAAATCTATAATTTCCAGACAAAAAATGCATAGGACAAAATGAAAGTATCTTTAAAGTCTTTATGAACGTATGGAGACATTATATATTTCCCCAAATACCTTGCATATAAGACCCTGTTGATAAGGAATAGAACAAAGCCTATTTGCAACTGATATTTGCAACGGATAAGTACAAAATTGCGAGTAATAATAATTTAAAAGGAAATTGAGAGATGAGAAAATGAGAGTTTTGGTGGTGATTTATAAATTAATTAATTGATAAAAAAAAATAAATAGACGAGCAGTGATCAGAATTGACTGCATATTTCGAAATGTCTAAGAATCAGAAGAAAAGAGTCAAAAAGTGAAAAAAATGACAGGTCAATTTCAACCTCTCAGTAGGATTTTCAATAAATGAATTTCTATTAAATTCTCTGCCAGTTTTAGGAATATAAATGCTGAAAAATTTGCAAAATGGCAAAAAGCAGGTCAAAGGTCAATTTCAAGGTCACAGTGAGATTGCCAGTATATGACTTCCTATTCAAATTCAATAGTGACTATGAGCGTATCTCTGCCAGTTTGGGAAAATTTTAATTTAAAATTCAAAACATTGGAAAATTTACCAGGTTCAGTTCGATTTCGTGGCATCGTGTTCAATGTAAATTGCAGTTTAATTTTAGCATGAAAAAAAGATCATAGTACCTCATGAAGCACTAGAAAAATGGGTCGCTTTCGCATTGAGCGATTCACTATAACAGCTATATACATGTAGATAAATGTACATTGTAGAGTGAATTGACCTGTAAACTCCAGGCGTAAATAAGCAGGAGACGGAAAATTATTTCTTATTGTTACTCAGTTACACATGTAGTCCAGGGGTAATTTTTCTACTTTCCAGATGTAATTCAAAATTGACGCGTAACATTGGAATTTAAGTCTTGAGAGTAGCAGGAATTTTCAAACTTAAATTTTATTCTGAGACGGGATTGCTACAAGGTTTTGAGATCATTTGGAATTTTCAACTTGAATTTTTGCAGAGGCAGAATTTCCAAATTCAACTCTTAGGCCATCGGGAAGTAAGTTTTGACTTTGTTTTTGTATGGCCGGAAACAATTAATAGACCCATTATCCACACAAGACTCTCCATTTTTAAGCTACATTATCAATCTTTATACCAAATCCATATGCTAACTTTCCATTCTGTATAAATGGATTTTTAGCAACATTCTTATAGACAACTCCAAAATTTAAACGTAAGATTTTAGATAACACTTTTGTGCTTAAGTGTGAGATAATACATTGTCACCCGAACGATATATGCCATAACACCTCGAGCGTCAGCGAGAGGTGTTCATGGCATATATCGTTCGGGTGACAATGTATTATTTGACATACATACCGAGAAAATATTACAGTCATTTCATCCTAAAACACCCCTTAAACCGAATAAAGTGACCTTATATCACGCTCTAGAGATGTTATACGGAATAAACTCGTCCACGTGCGCTGGTCACCTCCCGCCAAATTCTTACGTTATGTCTGACCAATTTGGTCAATTTTTGCTTAATACTTGTCGTGGACGTTCAACCGTAAACACTGACCGTGCGCGTCTCAGCTGAGCCACACCTAGCTGGGACTGCTTGCCGAAAAAAGGTCCCAAGGCAAAAACTCTACTTTTTAGTGACATATCTGATAAAAAAAGGAGCATCGGACCGGAATATAGTCAAACTAATTTTTCACAAGTGCAAAGGAGAAAGAAATTTACTTTTTGGTGATAATTCTGACAACGAGGCAGTTTTGGAATATAGTCAAAATCGACGGATGTTTATTACAAGTTCACGGGAGTAATAATTCTAGTTTTTTTATTGTTATTTCTGACGACGAAGTAGTTACGGAATAAAGTCAAAATCAAACGGATGTTTATTTCAAGTCCACAGGAGTAATAATTCTACGTTTTGGTGACATTTTTACTACGAGGCAGTTTCGGAATATACGGCTACATGTGCTGGTTTTCAGAGCATTCATGTGCTACATGTACTTACAAGTTCAAAGGGGGAATACATTTGACTTTTACCGATATATCTGATAAAGAGGAAGAATGAAAAGCTTAAAAACAAAAGGTAAATAACACAACCCTTTTTAAAAAGTTATAGATTTAAAAATTATTCGTATGCATGTGTGGCTTAAATTCAAAGTAATTCCCGTTTTTAAACCATACCCATATGATATGACCTAAGTGTAATAAAATGATAAATAATAATTGTTAAACGTGAATATGCTAATTTTTGTAAAAGTGTGAGAGATATTAAATTTGTCTACTGGTAGGTATATAACGCAAGCAACGTCCTTATTCTCTTGATGCCTAGCAGGTCACATGATCACACTGTCTTTGGCTTTCAGTATTTAAGAGACCTCGACTGATTTTACCAAGATGTAGTCGTGAAATTCTAGACTACATCGAGGTTAAATCCGAGTTTTTCGAGAGACGCTACGCAGAAATGTCGAGTGAAGCGAGACATTTTTGGGTAGCGGATCGAGGTTGCCCTCGATCTTCACTGAAGCTTGTCTAAATGGACAGGCTTCAGTGATCATCATATCGCTACGGTCATATAACATCCCTATGTATGTTTTAAAATACATTTCCAGATGCAGTATAACAAATACCTAACATCAGTTGTACTCTAGGATAAAAGAACCAGAATTACCACCACTTTCTTCCATATCTGCATTTTTCAAGCAATTGCAATTGCAATTTTGCACCAACAAATATGTAATGAACCTTTTACATATGCCTATGACGAATGTCCTAAACTTATATAATTTTGAACGCTTAATTCAAGCGTGGGCTCGAAATAGGACATAACGTTTTCGTCTAACTTAGTGGATAACGCAATCCAAAGACTCCACGGTTCGTGTCAGAATACGTAAGGTCGCGCAAAGAAAACCCAAGTCCACATAATGACCAGTTAAATGATTTATTCGTTGACGCTCGGTAACTACATGATATTCTAAGTGAAGTCTCCAAATCCTAACTACGTCTCGCTCCGTACATCGTCGCTTCCAACCTCCTCCTTCGTTGCTTCCTTCTACATGTCTCCAGTCTATCTCCCTTGTTCAATTCTCATCACTTACTTTAAATACTATTTTGTTATCTTTACATGGATCCAGTGCTGCACTAGTATGAGATGTACGTCAAACATAATTACCTTTAATTGTATAATTAATTTCTTTACTTGGGCGTCATACATAGAGACCGTCGCGTTACTCAAAAGCTATTGCACAATAACACATTACGTCATATTACTTTGTATTTTCTTTATGTCGGACCCGACATATTCCTTCCATTTTTTCCAGAAAAAAAAAAAAAAAAAAAAAACTTTNACTGACTAAATATGGCCAACCCCACAAAAAAGCAAGCTGCCCTAATCCCCTATTGGTCTCCCCACACACTCCATTAAATGGATTAAATCTCGACTGGGTTTTAGTTGCTAACCCCCGCAGCAACAGCATGTGTGGAGGCAGAGAGACCATCAGAGAACTAGCAGCATTGCTTTAAAGTGGATTGGCCATATTAAGTCTGCCAATCAACTTGTTCTGAATGCAGTCAAAAATTGGATCATTGACCAAAGTGGCACACAATTGAAAAGATTTATATAACAAATCATTTATTATCATCATTATTTTGCGATATTGATTAAGGTCATTTATCTGTCATTTTAAGTTTAAATTGCCCTCAGTTCAACAAGAAGTGATCCATGCACTGAGAATTTGTTGTAAATCCCACATTGGATGTCCTTAACAAAGGTTCATCAGCTTGGTTTATGCATTATTCATTGGACAGTTGTAACATAAATATTTCTTTTAAAATTTTAGTGGTTGCTTTTAATACTTATATTGTGTACAATTATGTGTAATTATTTATTCCCACCTCAGGGGTGAAAGACATAAAAGAGTACATACATAAAATCGCACACTAAATATATGGTTAGCTGGACAAGTTGGGCTTGATTCGTAAATCCAAAATTGAACGGAAAAAAAATCAAAAAGAAATTCGACGAGGATGGGATTCGAACCCACGCGGGGAGACCCCAATGGATTAGCAGTCCATCGCCTTAACCACTCGGCCACCTCGTCTTACGATGCACGTGGTGCGTTTTTACCTTTATAACATGTAACACTTGTTCTTACTTTTTATAAAACTATATTGTGGTGTAGTTATTCCCAGAAGTACAAATCATTTTTTCTTAACTATATCTGTTATTTTTGTACTTAATTGATGTAATTTTAATAATCATAATCCCAAATTAACTGTTACGACAACATGATTTACGGTATTACGCAGGTGACCTGTGAACTCCACCATGTGAATGAACCAAATAAATAGTGAAGGTACGTCAGGTAAGTTGAACTGACTCATGAGAGTTAATAGCGCGTCTTTATTTTCCATTTTTACGTCATTTTAACTTCCCGTTGGTAAAATATTCCTTGAAGAAAATAACTTTGCTGAATGTAGACAGGCAAGTGTACAGCGAATTCCTTGACTAAAAACTAAGAAAGTTTCAGCAAGTTGAACAACGATAATGCTGTTTAGTAAAAATTACTATAATGTGTAAAAGTGGCCATCGTACTGAACCTATGTGCTGTATTACTGAAGCTGTTATTTATGGTAATAACGCAATTTGTTGTTCAAAGACGTACTATTTGAATTATGCATACCCAGCTCCAGCCGTTTGTCATGACTTGTGGACCGCGCGTTTTGCTTGTTCAACTTCATGAATCTTGGCCTAGCTTTACTGTGTTCTAGCCCCAATCTAGGTACATATCCAGTTCAGTGAGAGTTGCGTCGCCATAACTTACCACGTGTTTTTCACAACAGTGTTGTAGCGCTAATTAAGTTTATCACAGGGAGCGAGCAAGCTATATACACATGTATCCCAGATTAACTTTCAGTATCCAAAGAAAGCTTGGAGGGGGGGTGGGGGGGGGTCAACACAAGGATTTTGTTTACTGCTTATGGTGAGCTAATCATAAAATACGTCCTTCTTATACACGTACTGTACTGTAAAAAACAGGAACATTCCACCAACTAAAGCTGTGGTGAATTACTTATACTTATCCACATACACACTACGTACATGTATGTGCACTTTCCATATTCAATTTGATTGCAGTATATTTTTAATTATTTGTTTATTTAATAATCACAGTCCCAGTATATGCTTTTTTCCCTTTG